GGGCAGCAGAAGCCTATCGGGCTGTACCCAGGGAGGACATCAAAGATTAAACAGGCTATACTGGAACGTTACGCCATTACCCCGGAGGCATACCGGCTCAAGTTTCGCGGATTGCGCAAACCTGAAAAAGACTCCCACGCTGAGTGGGCACACAAACTGGATCAAGCCTTCCAGGGGTGGATACAGGCCAGTCGAGCGACCACTATGGAGGAGTTGCGACAGTTGATGTTGCTAGAACAATTTTTTAATGGTCTGTCCCCCGAGGCACAAGAATGGGTGAGAGACCGCAAACGCCTCACCCTAACAGAAGCGGCACGACTAGCTGACCAACATTATGACGCCAGAAGGCATCACGGTAACCTGAACAGGGGATACCCTCGCCCTGCCGCTTCACCTCATACAGCCACCCCTACGGCACACACAGCGGCCCCATTCAGACCAAACCTGGTGGCCCACACTCCACCATCCAGATATAATGGCAGGGCTAATATCCAGTGTCATATGTGTAAGCAATGGGGCCACATGGCGAGAGAGTGCACCCAGAATCGGAGCCGGCAAGCATGGAACCAAGTGCGGCCAAACCCAGCACCCAGGGCAGCCGCCCACCACTACCAAGCGGAACCAACCAGCCAGGAGATGCTCTTTAATCAGACAGAAGAGCCCCTTGGAATACTACATGAGGTGATGTCAGTACAAGCCACAGACAGGCAGCTGGTAACGCTGGAAGGGAAAGAGGTACAAGGGCTCCGGGATTCGGGGGGCACTCTGACGTTGGTCGCCCCTTATTTGGTTCCTGGCTCCGCCCACACTGGAGGATCCGTAGCAGTGCGAGTAGCAGGGGGAGCCGTATACAGATTGCCCACTGCGAAAGTACAATTGAATTGGGGTGTTGGGGAAGGGATGGTAGAGGTGGGCCTGATGCAGAAGCTACCTGCGGATGTTGTACTCGGGAATGATTTGGGCCAGATGACCTCTGCTTTTATACCCCAGGTTCCACACCAGGAAGCACATCCGGTAAGAGGTATATCCTGACCGTGGTCGACTACGCCACCTGGTACCCCGAGGCCATTGACCTGTCTAATATTCATGCAGAAACGGTGGCCGAGGCCTTGCTGAAAGTCTTTTCCCGGGTAAGATTTCCTCAAGAGATAATATCTGATAGGGGTACCCAGTTCACCGCTGAAGTCACCCAGCAACTGTGGAAGATGTGTGGCATTAAGCCAATAGTAAACTCTGCCTATCACCCCCAGTCCAACGGCTTGTGCGAAAGGTTTAATGGTACCCTGAAGCAGATGCTTCGTATGTTTGGAGAGGCCCATAAGGACTGGGAGCGATTCCTTCCCCATCTGCTGTTTGTATACAGAGAGGTACCCCAAGAGTCGACGGGATTTTCTCCGTTTGAATTGTTGTTTGGGAGAAGGGTGAAGGGACCGTTGGACCTAATTAGGGAGTATTGGGAGGGAGAGAGTAGCGCTGATGGGACCCCCATTGTACCATACGTGCTAGAGTTCAGGGACCGCCTGGAGGACTTAACCCAGGCCGTACGCACCAATCTCCAGGCAGCCCAGCAACGGCAGCGCCGCTGGTATGACAGGGGAACCAGAGACCGCCGCTTTCAAGTGGGACAGAAGGTTTTAATTTTAAAACCTGTCTGCACAGACAAGCTGCAGGCCATCTGGCAAGGCCCATACCAGGTGGTGGAACAGAGATGTGACACCACCTATGTGATTGGCCCCTGCTCAGGGGTAGGGAAGAGACGCATGCTCCACGTGAACATGCTCAAACCCTACCATGAGAGGACAGAGGATGTGGCAGCCATATGCACGCCAGCCTCTGAAGATCAGGAAAATCTGCCGCTGCCTGACCTATTAGAACAGGACGATCAGACAGAGCCCTCCAAGGGGGTTCAACTGGGAGAGCGGCTAAGCCCTCAAGAGCGAGCCCAGGTACAGGAGTTGATAGCGGCGAAAGGGGCCACTTATTCCAACTTGCCTGGGTACACTCCGCTAGCCACTCACCGAGTTTAGACCCCTGGACAGCTACCTATGCGGCAGACCCCATATCGGATCCCTGAATCAGTCAGGGAACATATGAGGAAGGAGATTGAGGAGATGTTGCAGTTAGGGGTTATTGAACACTCCGATAGCCCCTGGGCATTGCCGGTAGTCCTGGTACCTAAGAAGGATGGTACAACCCGGTTTTGTGTGGACTACCGGAGGCTAAACGACAAAACGGTGTCTGATGCCAATCCGATGGTCCAGATAGACGAGCTGCTGGATAAGATGGCACAAGGCCAGTATCTCACTACCATAGATTTATGTAAGGGATACTGGCAGATTCCACTAGCCGAGGATGCCATTCCCAAGTCGGCGTTTGTCACCCCGTTTGGCCTGTATCAGTTTAAGGTCATGCCCTTCGGGATGAAGAACGCCCCGGCGACTTTTCAGCGGATGGTAGATCGGCTACTGGATGGGTTCCAGGAATATGCCTGCGCATATCTGGACGACATTGCCATATATAGCCAGACCTGGGCAGAACATCTGCAACACATAGGGGCAGTGATTGACCGTATTGGAGAGGCAAGGTTGACACTGAAACCTAGCAAGTGTCATGTAGGGATGGCCGAAGTACAGTACCTGGGCCACCGGGTGGGAAGTGGGCAACAAAAACCCGAACCAGCTAAAATTGAAGCTGTAGCTAAGTGGCCCACCCCTAGGACCAAGACCCAAGTACTCGCTTTCCTGGGCACCGCAGGGTACTACAGAAAATTCGTGCCTAATTACAGTGCCCTGGCCAAACCCCTGACTGACCTGACCCGCAAGAATCTGCCCCGACAGGTCGTCTGGGCCCCAGAGTGTGAACAGGCATTTGACCAACTTAAAACGGCTCTAACTAATGCACCAGTACTTGCTGCTCCTGATCCAAGTAAACGATTTCTTATCCACACAGACGCTTCAATGTTTGGATTGGGAGCAGTGCTGAGCTAAGTTGGAGCCGTTGGCGGAGAACACCCCGTAGCATATCTAAGCCGGAAATTGTTACCCCGAGAAGTAAGCTACGCCGCCATAGAAAAAGAATGCCTGGCCGTGGTGTGGGCCCTTAAAAAGTTACAGCCGTATCTCTATGGGCAACCCTTTTCTTTGCTCACAGATCACAACCCGTTGGTGTGGCTAAACCGTGTGGCTGGAGACAACGCCAGGCTGCTGCGCTGGAGTTTGGCGCTGCAGCCTTTTGACTTTACAATCCATTATCGCCCTGGGAAACAAAACGGTAACGCCGACGGGTTATCTAGACAAACTGACCTTGAAAAGTGATCTGTGAGCCCTCCTCCAGACATCCCCAAGCCGATCCGTTGGGATCAGACTGTGTATGCCGGCCTGGTTCTGGGGGAGCATTGTGGCAAACCTAGCCACAAGGTTTAAGGTTTGCCTGTATATTTCTGACAACATTATATGTACCTGGTTGTAATTTACTGTAAACCGTATGTTGTATTGCCTGTATGGGCTATCTGCCGAAAGCAGCTGTATTCTATTTTGTTTCACGAACAGCGACTTTGCGGGCTGTTCGTGAACCGAATAAACTATCCTGTAATAGCCCACACACTAAGAGACGTGTGGCGCTTGTTAACCGATTGCAACAATGTTGCAATCGGTAATTAGAGGTACTCCTAGGTGGCCGTCGTTCGACTACCGACCACGCGGCGGTCGGCCAGCTTGGATCCTTTGTTCCTCCAGCGGTGTTTGGTCATCGAGCGCGTGGTACTGAAAACGGCTGCTCGACGGCGCGAACACCGCTGGACTTCCAGGCCGTTCGGGAGTTCCGGGCTTTTCGGTATTTTACTCCCCGTATGCCAATCGGTCTTTTGAATGTATGTTTTGATGAATATGTTTTTCGGGTGGTGTTCGGTTGTTTTAGCTGGGATCTGAGTGGTAATCTCACGAACTATGTGCTCAGACCCCAGCTATCTACCGAACGTCCATTCGTGTAAATCAACCCAATATTGAGAAAGTTATACATTTTAATGTGAAATGCCGGTTCTGCTGCACGGAGGGATAATCCACTTAACGGTGCATTCCAGTGGGAGGATCCCTCTCGTGCAGCAGTGCCTGATGGGAGAAATGCCCTGTACATTAAGTTTCCCATGTAGTCCATTCCTGTAATACCCCTGTGATGTGACTCGGGAAACCCCTTGCATGGGGAATTGTATAAATACTGGAGCATGTGAATAAAGACCTCAGTTGACTCCCAGAACTGTGTTTCGTCCGGTTACTGGGGGATTTGGGATATTGCCTTACTTTTCAGCGCTTGACTGTGGATTACCTTCTTAACCAGCGGAGATCGTGGGATTTAATATTGCCGCTCCGCTACAACAATTAAACCTGTCACGCTTATCTCCCCTTTACCCTGTAACACTCCATCCTTCAACCATGCCACACTTACCCCCTCACCCTGTCACACTCATCCTTGAAGACAATCATGATACACACAAAGTCATAAAACATAGCTTGGCCATCAACAAAGTGCACAAAGGCACAGACCCCCATATACACAAAACACTCACTGTCAGACACTCTCAGGTACATATACAGGTAGACAATGCCAGACACACAGCCAGATAAATACACATTGTGACTATGTCTTTATTAGTCAAAATTTGTGCGAAACGCATTGTTTTCTTATCAATAACTTTATTTGGTAAATTATGTATTTTTTATTTTTTTTAAAAGCCTATCCAAAATCTTCATTTTTGTTTCCAATAACCCCTTCACACTGGCACTTATGTATACATTACTGCCAGCCTATACAACCATACCGAGCAATCGTGTATAAACAATTAGCATAATTGTAAATTAAATTTGTTTATTGCATATTATGCCATAACTACAGTCAAAGAGCTCACAATGCAGCGGCCTAGGTAGCCGCACCAATGCAAGCCTCTAAAGATGACTACCTCTGTGTATCCAAAACTGCAAGCCTGCCAATTAATATATCTACAGGTTCTTATAAACACGCTAATGGGCCTCATGTTTGAGTTTACGCCTAAAGCCTCGCAAAGTCTAGAGCCACCCCTGGAAGTTATATACTAAAAAGTTGAAAGGCCAAATGTATTTGGTCCCTGGAAGTCATAGGCCCTAAGTGATGAGAGGTTGAAGACACTGCCCCAGGAAGCACCTCTAGTAACCACATGAGGAGTAGCCAGTTGAGGTATCCCTAGGACGTATTGCAAACGCTGCATTTTCTCTGGGGGAAAAAATTTATAAAATTTGTTTGCTGCAAAAAGCCTGAAGGAAATTATAACTTACCAGAACAAATAAAATAAGTTGAGGTTGTTCTGGTGACTATAGTGTCCCTTTAAGCAGCTGAAAATATTCAAAAGATTCCCTTTTCTGCATTTTGTTCCTTTCATGCTTCCCATCACCATTTGCATAAACAGGAGCACCTGCTCTTAGTTTCTTGCATAGGTCCATGACCTGCATCTCTTTATTAGCATTGTCCTCTTGCTCTTGGATTGCATTCCTAGCAGATGGTTTGTTACATAAAGTAAAGTCAAAATTAAAATCTGCATGATTTTTCTTCTAATTTTGTTTATATATATACACACTTCATAAACAAAAACAAAAAATCCCTAGATAATATCCTTCAACACTTGAGGAAAATGATTATCTACAAATAGTTTCAGGTTACTATTATCCTTTAAAAATACATTTTCCTGGCTAATCATGGCAGCATATACACATGGGTTAGCTCCGCCCCTTACAGCCAATAGGACAGGAAAAACACCAAGGCTTTAAAAGGAGGCTCCATTGCTAAGGTCCTCAGTCTTTTTCTTGTCCTACAGTCCTTAGGATGTGAGCAATTTGCGCCCTTTACTTACAAACATGTATGTTTTTTTCTTCATTACTTTATTTGTTTTTTTAGGGTACCTTTATACTGTGGTACATTATGCCGGTGTGCTGGTGTGCTGTTATGCTGTGATGCATTTACTCTATGAGGAATTTAGACTGTGATGCATTTAAGCTTTGATGTCTTTAAACTAGTGCATTATACAGCTGTACCTTATGTTATAATATCTTTACATTGTGGTACATTATGCTGTTGTGCTTTTATACTGGAAAGAACAGAGAAAATACAGGGACCTGGGTGTATACCCGCACACTCTCCACTAGAGAAAAAAAAGGGGGTTAGTGTAGGGGTCCAACCCAGAATCCTGTGTACCGCAAGGGGACTCCAGGGGTCCCTATAGGGGCTTAACCCCAATATGACAAATATAACAACAAGAACAGATACTGCAAGTTCTCAGTGCATAAACACCCCTGAGACTCGCTGTATCACCTGAAAATCTAAATATAGCTATGTAGTCCTACTAATGAACTGGCTGGTAATATGAAGACTACTAAGGATCAGATATATCAAATGATAAATACAAAAAGTGAATAAATAAATAAATAATATAAAGTACTATATAAGTGAGACTAATACCCCCATGTCAACCAGAGTACAGAGTCCAGTGGGTAAATATATAGAGTTAATTAATACTGAACAAACAGCCCCATCTAAATAACAACTTTATTAGAAAAAATGCTGAGTAGGAATGGGTCCAGTATAAAAATAATAAAAAATACCTAAAACAGGACTGTCTCTGGGTAGTCACTAATTATGCCTGTCTATTATCCATATGATGAGTACTGTGCTTGTGTGAATGAAAAAAAGCCACCTCTATCTGAAGCAGGGGCAGTATACATCAAAAGCACAGACTCCTTCAATTACATACAGGAAAAGATTAAATGTAGAGCACAGAGAGAGAGATGGAAAATGATTTAAAGATTCAGTTTCTAAAAAACTGACAATGTTCAGTTACAAAAAGCCTCTCTCCCTGGTAAACTGACTAAATAGACATAGGAGCAAAGATAAGGTAAGTGAGAAGTATAGTAAACATAAAAATCAAAAAAATCCCATAGAATTAGTGCCAAACATGGTGCTATAGACACCAGTGCCCAGTGCTCATAAGATATGAGAAAAACGCCCGACGCGCGTTTCGGTGCCTTAGGAGATGCACCTTCGTCAGGGGCCCCTGACGTTATTTCCATTCAATTGCATTGAATTACAAGTAGATTTCAGGGCTCTTCTTCACTTCAGAGGGTTGCTGAAGAACAAGTGGGTCCAAATTTGCTCAAATTTCAAGTAACTGTATCCTATATCTATCAAGATGGGTCTCACATCTAGGTATTGATGGAATTACAGTCCACGATGATCAGGGCACAGAAGAACAACAAAGGGCTCAGAATACAATGGTTAATTACCTGAGCCGAATAACTGTGGACAAGGGGGAATGGCAACCATGTCCTGACGTATCCTCGGGGTTGACGCAGATTTGTCTGATACCCTACATAGATCTAATGGCAATTTCTTGGCGCTACCAGGTCCAGAAGTATTTTCTGGATTTTACCACCAGAATGCTCAAGGTCAGGATACGCTGACTCAAATTTGGAATTTTAATCTGATGTACGTATTTAGATACACTTATATAGTATCCAGTTTTCAACTTTCCTAAAGGTAATTCAAAAGGAGACCGTAGAAGGCCATGTTGACTCTAAATTCCTATGATGAATAGATGATTCTGGAATCTCCAAGGGAAATTCCAGTACGTCCAGACCTATTACAAGGTCCCTTGACACACCAAGTTCCTCAAGTTCTGGTGTTGATGCGGGAGTCCCCATAAGTTTAGGCATCCTTGAGACGGTCATTAAGATCCTCTTACCATCCTATAAATACTTTACAAAACATGGTATGCATTTGTCTGTGAAAATTATTCCTCAATCAGGCCTAAAAAAGGGTCTGAGTTATAACACTCTAGAGGAGCCCATATCTGCACTTCCCACATAGATAGGTGCCCATTGAACATTGGAGCCCCTGATGCTTTGCTTCTTGTAACCATTGATTGATCTCAAGCCTCCACTAAAGGTGGTGAAGCCAATATGTGCCGTACCAGTGGTCTCACGGGCTCTGATTGAACCATTATTTGAACCTCTAGCAGGAGCTTCCATGGTGGTAGCACAGAAAGTGCTGGTGACTGGTACCTCAGCAAGGAGAATGTGTGAACTCCAGGCTTGGCCCTGTGAATCCCCATTCACAGATTTTCAACAGGTTATGGTTGTCTTGCATTTAATACATGAGATCCTGCCCAGGGTGAATGCTTATCAAGGTCATTCTCCACCTGTACTGAAGGGTACCTATTGTATATTGATGCCCCTGGTGCTTTGCTTCATATAAGCAGCAATTGAACTCTCAAGTCTCCACTGAGTGTGATGAAGACAATATGTGACATGCCACTGGTCTCTCAGGCTCTGACAAAACCATCATTTGAACCTCTAGCAGGAGTTTGTGGTTGTAGCACAGAAAGCGCTGGTTGCTAGTACCTCAGCAAGGTATATGTGTGAACTCCAGGCTTGTTCCTATGAACCCCATTCACTGATCTTCAACAGGATATGATTGTCTTGTATTTGGCATCTGAGGTCCAGACTAAAAGGAAAAGATTATTGATGCCATTCTCTACCTGGGCCAGAAGGTATCAGGGGACTCTCCATTCATGCTGTTGCAGCATTGTGGGCTTCCATGTCAATGGTTTCTGCTGACACTTTTTGTAAAGCTAGCATTTGAACCCTTGTAGACACATTTGACCAGCATTTCATACTTTGTTAAAACAGACAATGATGCACAATTTGGATGTCAAGTACTTCACTCAGTTCATTCTTCTATGTTGAATTGTTCTGATTGGCATTTATTTACGTTTCTGTCCCTCCCTTTGTAAGCTTGGGTATTCCCCATGTGTATTTGATGCAATGATTAGCCAGGAAAGTGGAAAATGTATTCATACTTACCATAATTTTATTTTCCTTGCAGCACCCATTAATGTCTATATAGTGTAGAGCTTGAAAACTGGCTGAGGACCTTAGGATTGGAGCCTCCTTTTAAAGCCTTTGTGTTTTTCCTGTCCTATCAGCTGTAAGGGACTGAGCTAACCAATGTGTATATGCTGCCATGAATAATAGCCAGGAAAAGAAAATGACGGGAAGTATGAATACACTTTCCACTATATACACACACTTTGAATTGAATTATCAATTTTTTTTTATTTTTTTAAAGTGCATAATATCAATAGTTGCAGTTGTGGTGCAACTTGGATGAATGTGGGCTGATTAACTTCTAGACTATTGTAGGAAATCATTCATTGTAGGCTCTTAGAACAAGTTTCTGCTTACAATACAGCAAATGCGGGGTATACAGTTTCTCAGTAGGACCCAGGCAAGTTGTCAAGCCTCTTTAGTGATTAGACATCTTACCATGTGATGTAGCCAGGTCATTCTTGGCACTTTAACCATTATAATGGGCAGTATGGTTCTTTGTGTTTTCCTTTTACTGAAGCAGCCACAGCTGTTGCTACATACAGACTAAAAAGGAAATTGTGGGCTATACAAAAAGCCTGTTTAGGCAAGATACTATCATCCATATACAAGTGCTGCAGAATTAGTTGGCGCTATATAAATACCAATAATATACGTGACTAAACCTAGAACGTAAAATAAAATGAGTACCTGACGAGGGAGTAAGTCACCATTTTCCTGAATACCTATTTGTCAATTACATTTTGCTATTGTAAAAAGCCACCTAGTTACATCTATATAAACAAGCAAAGTTCTTGATTAATCTTACACAATACAATGACTATTGGTTATCTAGTAAATCTTGACTGGCATTTGGTGCTTCTATTGGAAAGGTAGCCTGGAAAGTTACCAGAGACTAAAAACCTTTAAACATATCTGAACACACCTCAAAATAATTCAAACAATGGTAAATAGTACAAGCCGGAGTCAAACATATGCCATTTTATAGCTACATAAACTTCTAACCTAGAAATCCAATTTAACAGACACAATAACACTTCTTTTCAAAACAGTTATTTATTATAACATCCAGATGAAATAGTTTAGCGTTTTCCACCAACACGGGGTGCTGCCATCTTTACGGGCTTTGCAATCTTCTGCTTGGGTGCAGACTTAGATGGTCCCTATGAAAGAAAAGCCATCACATTAGTTAAGTCACAACATGAGTCAGTGGGACTTTAAGTGTCTCAGGAATAGTTGTAAGTACGTCTGTTATTTTTGTGCTACTTATTGTATTCTGTATATAGCTTAACATTCTATAGATAAGTTGATTATGCACCACTAAGAAAGGCTGTATTCATAGTTGGCTGGTTGCTCTTCAGTTTTATTGTGTTTCCGTAAGAAAACTTGTGCATTCAGCTGAAAAGCTTTCCATCTATATATTAAATCAGATGTCACTTTCAGGAGTCTTAGCATTTTACACAGAGACCCCTGAGAGTGACAGATCTGGGTCTGGTGACAATAGGGTGCAGCATTTTACTTTAGGTTGTCCCTCATTGTCGCTGAAACCTTCATTCTGCTGTTCTCTTAGTTTCCTGATGCTTGAGTTGCCAGGAGAGATGCACGCTCGCAAAATAACAGTGATGTCTACCGAGGATCCAACAAGACCATCCCATAGACAGAGGCTGAAAGCCACAGCTGCTAGAATTAGTTAATTGTGATGCTTTGCCTTTTGTCAAGCTCAGGCTTTCATAAGAAAGCTGTCCATACTATATCTTATGGTATCTTGATCAGTATTTCATAAAGAATATATACTTATGAAATACTTAAGTGACAGATCCACGTTGACTATAGCAACATGTGTAAGTTTGGAAGGAGAAAAAAAAAAAAAAAAAAGCCACACAACTTACCTTTGAAGGGACAGTTTTCTTTGTAGCCTGCTTTGCCTTTTTTGCTTCCTTGGCAGCCCTAAGAGGGACAAAAGAAAAAAAAAAAAAAAAATCATAGGAGGTTTAAAAATACAAGGTATTTGAAATAATAAAAAAAAAAGGTTATTTTTTTTTCCTCCAAGTCATACAATGTCTGTACTGATACTTTAACCATGTAAAGAGGTTTTATTTTGCACAAAAGCTGCCGGTAAAGTGGAATTTTTTTTTAATTTTTTTAATTTTTTTTTTAAAGAGGTACTCTCCTGCTTTTAGAAGTTAGCTATAGGTTGAGCTAAAATGATCGAATTCACTATTTTATATTTCCTTACAAAAGCACAGGAAAAGGACAGACATTATGCACAGCATAGGTGGTGAAAAATCCACAAGTGATTATGGCTCTTGGGAGCCAAAACACTGACCAGATATCCCATTAAGTCTGCCTGGTATTATAGCCAATTTGCATCTGTTTTACTTTGTGGGCTACCTGGAAATAGTGTCTCAACTGGTGACACTTTGATTTTCCCTTTCCAGTTGTGTGCCTTCTCACCTAGCCAACAGAGCAGCAGCAGAAGAAAGAATGTTTTACAGCTATGTTGCTCTCCCCAGTAAACATGATTATAGCATTTACTGGTATAAAGGAATAAGAATTGGTCACTTCACTGTTAGAGAGCTCTGCTTTAACCAGCAATATCCAAAAGCTAGGGCAGAGAATAACCAATACACTTTTGCACTAACAAACAAGCCCCATCATTCATCAGGATCTACAGCACATGCACAGTGGTTACTCCCTAGCCAGCTCTTGTGCTGACAAGGAGCACAGAAACAGTGACTAATGTAACTCAATTTATGCAGTGATGAACAGGCAGTGAAGACAACATGTGTGCCATAGGGAAGGATTTGCCCAGCTTGGATAGGTCTCCAAATAGAACATTGACAATATTTGAGATCAGTGTTTCAAACATTAACACCAACGAAGCTTCAGACATAGCAACACTAGTAGACTTAATAGCTACAGTTTTAAATGAACAAAACTCTTCACAATATTACTTAAGGAGTGGTCCATTTAATATGAACCTGCTGTTATGACAAGTCCCCTATAACCCCCACCACATGATAAGGTTGTGATTTAGAAATGCAAGTCATAGCTTACTACACTGGAGACAGAAACTTCCAGATATAAAAGCGTTTTGTATTTCAGTAGTAGGACCGTCACTGGATTGTGCCATTACAGAGCCATTTATCTACACATAAAAGCACATGCCACAATCACAAGAAAACTGGGACCTAAGTGCCCATACTATTTCCAATGTTAGAACAGAAATTCAGCTCACCTATGCTACTGCCCAAGAAGTTTACTGTAATGGCATTAACATCCACAGTGCAATACAAACCACCCACTAACATTTAGTCTGTTACAGTGCCTGCATCCACATAATTTTACAATGGTCAAGAACTACTGCTTTAGTACTTTCATAAGGTAGCCCAGTACATAATACCCAAGTTGACAATTTAGTAACATAAGGATTCGTTTTAGAAAACTGAAGAGGTTATATGTACACAGACTATCAACATGGAGATAACAGTATTTCTCTCTTAAATTGTACCAAGATCTAGTGGGATTATTCACTTAAAGTAAAACTCCAGCATGTCTCATTAAGGACATATCGCCTTCTAATAAGGGTAACACCAAGCTAAAGTTTAAGTAATCAAAACACTGGCTAAAGAGTAGCCTTTTTTTATAAAAAAAAATAAATAAAAATTAGACGTTAAATAGTATGACTTCATGGTGGCAGAAGTAGTACATATCAACACCGTATGTAAAGACTGCTAGCATTGGCAACCAGCAATATATTGGTAAAGTCATAACACAAAAAATAAAGATATCTAAAAGAAAAAAAGTCTCACCTAATTGCTTGTTCCCTTTGAGCCTTTCGCACCTCAGGCTTCTGGTTTCTCTTGGCCATAATTTCAGCCAGAGATGCTCCAGTGATGGCTCTCTGGAATTTCACTGCACGTCGGGTACGTTTCTTCTGGATTTCTTCCTGTAGGGACGGAAAAGTAAGAATGATCAATTTGCTTTCTGAATTAGTGACCAATAAAAGTCAAAACAAAATATAAGATAATGGTGGCCTCAGTATTGAAATATTAATAAATACACAAACAATGCAGTATTTAAGAAAGCTGGGATTAAACAGATCTGTATGTTGGAATGTAGTCTAAAAAAGTAGAGTGGCAAGAGAACAAATATATTTTGGATAAGCTTACAACAATTCTGGTGCTTTATTCAAAGCAATCACAACAGAACCTTTGATTTAAGCAGCCACTTTGCTTCAGAATATTTCCTGAATTACTAAAAACCCATCACTGGAAAAAAAAAAAACCCCACTTACAGACTGGCCTTTCTTGTGTTTTCTTCTGTACAGAACAGTCCAGTTGATTTGACGGGGGTTCCTCTTTGAAAGAAATGCGGACTCGCATTTTGCATTCAGAAACTGGAAAACCTAAATTTATAAATTGAAGGTTAAATTATATATTTAATAGAGATCGACAGATCAAAGATACAGATAAAGAGGCAAATATTGCTGATAATGCAGACCAGAGCCGCCATCAGGGTCCTGGCGGTCCAATCACACTCTTACTTACCCTCCCAGCAGCTCCCCTGTCTAAATCTCGCGAGTCCCGTAGCCGTCAAAGCATTGCAGCAGGTTACCATAGCAACGCTCCGCGCAGCACACCGGCTGCGAGAGTTAGACAGGGGAGCTGAAGGGAAGGTAAGTGTGCTGGGCCCGCCAGTGCCGCTGCGGGCACCCAAGGGAATAGGGAGGGGGGACTGAAACAAAAGTTAAAAAAATAAAAATGCCATTTAACAGTAAATGTGTGTAGAAATTGTTTATTTTTCAAAAGGGTAGATAAACAGAATATCTGTATTGGCAAGTTATCGGCCTGAAAGTTCAGATAGTCAAAAATAAATAATTATAAAATAAAAAAAACTCAATATCGGTCTATCCCTAATATTTAACAGATTTCATTAATCATTAAAGGACCACTATAGTGCCAGAAAAACACTAGTTTTCCTGACTCTATAGGGTCTCTAGGTCCCCCCACCCTCAGGCTCTAGAGGGTGGAAGGGGTTAAATTTACCTCTTTCCAGCACCAGGTGGGGGACTCTCCTCCTCGTCATCAGCTGAATGCACAGCACGAGCCGCGCGCACAGCCAGTCCATAGGAAAGCATTCTCAATGCTTTCCTATGGACGCTGGCGTCTTCTCACTGAAAATCAGTGAGAAGCGCGGTAGCGCCTCTAGCGGCTGTCAATGAGAGCCACTAGAGGCTGGATTTACCCATTTGTAAACATAGCAGCTTCTCTGAAACTGCTATGTTTATAGAAGAAAGGGTTAATCCTAGCTGGACCTGGCACCCAGACCACTTCATTAAGCTGAAGTGGTCTGGGTGCCTATAGTGGTTCTTTAACGGACCACTATAAGCACCCAGACCACTTCAGCTCAATGAAGTGGTCTGGGTGCCAGGTCCATCTAGGGCAGGCATAGGCAACCTTCGGCACTCCAGATGTTTTGGACTACACCTCCCATGAAGCTTTGCCAGTATTATGGGTGTAAGAATTATGGTTGATGTAGTCCATAACATCTGGAGTGCCGAATGTTGCCTATCCCTGCAGCTGTAAACATAGCAGTTTCAGAGAAACTGCTATGGTTACATTAGGGTTAATCCAGCCTCTAGTGGCTGTCTCATTGACAGCTTCTAGAGGCGCTACCCCAATGTGAAAAATCAGTGAGAAGACGCTGACGTCCATAGGAAAGCATTGAGAAATGCTTTCCTATGGACTGATTGAATGCGCACGTGGCTCCTGCCGCACATGCAGTGCTGACGTTGGAAGAAAATAGATTTCCCCAGAGCCGAGGGAGCACGGCGCTGGAGAAAGGTAAGTGATTAACCCCTTCCTCCCCCTTCAGCCCAGCGGGAGTGGGACCCTGACGGTGAGGGGGGACCTAAAGACCATATATTGCCAGGAAAACAAGTTTGTTAAAGGACCACTATAGTGGTCCTTTAACAGTTTTTTTTGTTTTTTTTTAATTAAGAGGGGTGATGCAACACTTAACACCCACGAGGGGGAAGTTTAAATAAATAACTACACCCCTAGGTCCAGCACTGTACCCATGTTCATCATTCCTCCTCAGGCAAGAACGTTGGGGAAACAAACCTGAGGAGAAGACTTGGGCAGCAAGGAGGAGCCATGTTTCACCAAAATGCTGAGAATTGACACCAAATAAGTACAGATTAAACGTTTGCTAAGAGAGTTCCAGGATAGCTAATGACACTGTCGGAAGTAACACATACAGCAAGAAATATTTATTTTCTAGCAACCATGACCACTTCAGGTCACTATAGTGGTTATGGTGCTTGGAGTATCCCTTTAGTAAATCTATAGGGTCAGCCCAGCAGCATTTTTGTATTGTTTCTGCTGCCCTTAAATGAGTCAGAATCAAGTTTTTTTTTTGTTTACAATGCCCTGCAGTGCATTATTCACCAAGTCCTCAAACAAGCAAAGTATAAAAAAAGTGTTTACACTGAAAGTTGGGAAGCAGAAGAGAAGTTCGCCCAGCATCATTTAATGTGTTGCCAACAAGTCAACTACAGTCTCTACTGTACTTCCCCCCCCCTCATAATTGACATTAGACAGCCCAGAACAGAGGGCAGCATAATCTGTATGTACAGCATTTCATGCAGAAACAGACTCCTACCACCATGACCACTTCTAAAAGCAAGTGCCCAAGTTAGCTGGATTAATTTTTTTTTTTTTTATAGCCTCCCCCCCTAGCAGAACACAGTCAGTTTTACTCCAAATTTCATACAGGTAAACGTAGCCAAGTTCTGAGGTGCTACATTTGGAAATGTGACCACTGAAAACAAGTTTTAGCGAACAAGTTACAAAGTAACATAATGAATCACTCTGTTCTTCTTTCACACTTTCAGTGTATACAAAGCAGGCTCAGTAGATTCCCAGGTCAGGGCTGACAGTGCTGCTAGGCCTTAGTCCATAGTGTGTGTCCCTGTGCAGTGTTCAGAGCGATACACATCATCCAGTGATATCCTGGTGACACAGAGCTCTACCAATATGTGTGTCAGCTGCCATGACTCGGGCCTGGCCTCCCTTACAGCCGCTCAATGAACCCCCTGCCCCGGGCTCCATACAGCTCTTCCACGACAGCCCTGTGTGGGGCTGCCCAGGCGCGCTCTCTGTCCCACCATACCCTACCCACGGCCTAGCCAGCCCGCACTAAGCTCACCTTCCCGTCGGTCCTGGCGTAGCGCCGGCCGTGCCCCGGGTAGATCTTGTAGCCGCTGAAGCTGCACAGCTCGACCCTGTAAACACAAAATAGAAAGCGGTGAGGAATCGGCAGACCCCGGGCCACCGTATCCCGGCATCCTGGCGGCACAGAGCCACCTCGGGCGGCAGGATGGCAGCGGATTAAAGAAAGCCATTAATCTCGGAATGTCTGCCATGTTTGCACTCACTTCATGGCGCCGGTTAAGATGGCGAAGAGAAAGAGAGGATGCTGGGTAATAGGATTTATATAGCGAGGGGCGGGGCGACTGGGCAGAGCGGCTTACTAACTCTTTCACTGCCGGAGTGTTTTAACGTGATGATAGACTAGTGACAGCCAGGGAGGGATGACAAGCTCTGACACACTGTACAGACCACATTGCACACACAGGCTATTTACTTACCATTTACTATTAAATACAATAATATAATTTAACAAAACACGCCTAGGAATTTTAGTAAGATGTTCTCCCCAAATTAGTACATGTCTTGCCCTTACTATTATTTTCAGCAGGAGCATTAAAGGACCTCTAAAGTCAACCAGACCACTTTATCTCAATGAAATGGTCCAGGTGCACTGGCCCTTTTGACTACACAGGAGAAGATGCATTTTGACGCCCTACACCCCCTCCCCCCAAAAAAAACAATGCATCTTCGCCTATGTGTCTCATAGCCCCCTTTTGAATTTCTTACGCCCGTTAGTGTTTCATATCCACTCTTGAATGTCTTACCCCTTTGGCCCCATTCTGTCTTACACCCCCTTTAGTGTGTCTCCTACAACCCCTCTTATGTATTTCTTACTTCCCCGCCAGCCCCTTTCTGTCTCTTTCTTCCCCCCAGCCCCTATCTATCTCTCCTTTTCTCCCATATAGACAGACATACATACAGGCAAAAAAATATATATGCACAAATACACAAACATACATACACACAACCATACAAGCACACAGACATAATTATTCAGACACACAGTCACAAAGATATACAGACGCACAGTCATAAAAGGCACACAATCAAACAAACAGTCATACAATCTACACATATAGGTACATTGTCATACAAACACAGGCACACACAGAAATACAGACACAGAAATAAAGAAACATAGACATAGGCATATAGAGACATACATACACAGTGATACAGAGACATACATACGCAGACAGTCATAAAGAGACATACATACACAGACAAACAAAGAACCCTGCACACTGATACCATGTAAATACTCCGGCCGTCTATCCACAGACATCACTGGATCCACCAGTAAAGTCTTCAAAAGGAATAAACGCAGGCAACACTCCAATAATAATGGTATATTTTTTGAAAGGTCAACCACCCCATAGAAAGTGTGACATTTTGGCTCAGCAAAACCTTAATCATGCAATAAGGCTCTGCTGAGCTGAAACGTCACACTTTCTATGGGTTGGTTCACCTATCAATAAATATACCATCCTTACTAGGCATGTGCATGGGGAAAATATTCGTCATTCCGAAATTCAGGACTTCGTCAATTCGGCACTTAGTCACTTCGGCAACTCGGGACTTTTCTTGCAGCCGCTTGGTAGATAACTCCCTAATTCCCACGGTATTAGGGAGCTATCTACCAAAAGGCTGAAAGACCTAAATTGGTCTTTTAGCCAAATTTACTAATACTAAGTAAAAATTACTTAGTATTAGTAAATTTTGCCCCTACTCGCCATTATACCACGAGTAGGGGCATGTCTAGTAAACAGTGAGCAGCCTGTGGCTGCTCACTGTTAAAAAACAAAAAAACAAACAAAAAAAAGGGTCCTCCCCCCTGGCCCTCACCCCTGAGCGGTGGGTGGGGGCCCTAAACAAGAATAAGGAGGGGGGACCTAATGTCCTCCCCTCTGGCCCCCACCCCTGAGCGGTGGGTGGGGGCCCTAAACAAGAATGGGGGGGAGCCTAATATCCTCCCCCTAGCCTCCACCCCTGAGCGGCGGGTGGGGCCCTAAATACAAATTGGGGGGGAAAATACAAAAAAAGGGGGGTAAGGGCTGCGCTAATAAATAATAAATAATAAATAAATAGGATATAATCAATAGACAAAGTTCGTCTAAAAATAGATTAAAACAGTCTCACTGATATGTGATGGTAGGATAATAGTCCTCAGGTGTTGATCCGTCCGTGTGGTGGCAGATAGACCATATATGTGGAAATAAAAACAGATAGAGAGCTTCCAAAGGTGAAATATAGTACATCCAAATGTGATGGATAAATCAAGAGAAAAGTATTTCACTCACATTTGTTGGAGCTTGAACCAGCTCTAGGAGAAGAGGCACTTAGTGGTTTAATCCCCACTATCGGATACACTTGAGTGGTGGGTCCGTCTGTCCGACTTTGGGTTTCCTTGGTGTAGGCTGGGACCTACTCAGATGTGCGTAGTTCTTTGGTGCTGGGGAGATAGGTCCGCCTCTCCAGTTTTGAATAATGGGTATCCACGAAATATATAAAACAGTAGATAGTGCTCTCAGTTTGAACAATAAAACTATTTTTTTTAAAATAAGTTATACTTACAAGAATAGAGCAGACAGATACTGCTCTATTACCACAGCGCTGGTGGAATTATCCCCACCTGCGGATTTCTTTGGACGGGATACACTTGAGGATTAGGGTTTTAAATTTTTTTTATATTTTATAAAAAATAAAAAGATAAAAATTAAAAATAAAAATAAAAAATAAAAAATATAATATAAAAACAATATATGAAAGTGCCAGGAGTAGTTAAAGTGTATAAAATACAATAAAAATAAGTATAAGATTGGTCCTAGTATAAAAGGTAACCAAAAATAACTTTTATTGATTTAAAATACACTTATTAAAACCATTTACGCGTTTCACCTATGAGGTTTTTTCAAAATGGTAAAAGAACAATACACCTGGCAGAAAACAGAATTTATAAGTTCATACAGAGATTGAATTTGGCGCCAAAATTTAGTGCACCAATCATATTCAAGGATTAAAACCGAACAAAAATTACAATAAGAAATAAGTAAAAAACCATATAAATACAAAGGTCTAAGCCTGATTAGGCTAGGGTAATGCTAATTTTGTTAAAACAAAGCTTTTAAAGAGTTTTAATTTAAGTTGGTCCCGATCACGTGATCGGGACGTGCCGCGCATGCGCGGACCGTCTGAATAGGCGGATCGCTTAGAAATTTAAACAGAGGGCTCGGTGGCCGGCATGGGAGTGCAATGCTCCATGGGAAATGGAGTCCTGCCGGTCACCGAGCTCCCAAGGGCAAAAAACATTGGGGATTTCAATTTAAATCAATATTGCAGCACATAGAAAGTTAACATAAGGGTATCAAACAGGATGCATTTAGCAATAAAGATAATAATAAAAAATACAAATCCTAAAAATACAAATACTAAAAATACAAATACAAATATACAGATGTATTATGTGATATATAATTTTTGCAATATAAATGCACTGAAAATAAATTAAAAAGATAAGACTTCCATAAAAAAGGTAACAATAAAAAGTGGATTTTGTTATAAAAAATTATGCAGATCAAAATCTGCATTAAGTCCATTAGGTGTTAGAGTCTGTAGTTTATAGATCCACTCCATCTCAATTTTGCCTGGAATATTTTTTATATCTCCTCTCCAAGGTAATGAGCATTTTTTTATACCCATATATTTTAATATTTTTGGGTCTTTATTGTGAATTAAGAAATGCTTGGATAAAGAGTGGTTTAGATAACCATTTTTTATGTTCCTACAATGCTCACCTAATCTGATTTTTAAACATCTGGTGGTCATCCTAACGTATTGGAAGCCACACGGGCATTGTAGTAAATAGATGACATTTTTGGTGTTACATGTTATAAATTCTTTTATTTTAAAAGTGGTTTTGGTTTAGTTTGAAGTAAATTCTGTTATTTGTTGCATTGTAGGATCAGCAGTTTTACACACATTGCAATTTTTACATTTATAAAAACCTAGAGATTGCGGAAAAAAAGATACAGGGTTATTAGATTTATTTTCTTTGGTAAAATTGGTGGTTAAAATGGATTTAAAATTAGGAGCCCCTCTAAAAATTACACTAGGTTTTTCTGGAATAATCTTAGAAAGTTTTTCATCATGTTCTAAATGTGCCAATGTTTCCAGATAATCTTTTGTATTTCTTTACTCTTATTATTAAAGTTAAAGATGATAGGAAGGGATATAGAGTCGTTTTTACTTTTGAGCTTATACTTTAAAAGCTCATCTCTATTTTTATTTTTTACCTCATTAATATTCTCCAAAAGTGCTTTTTCTGGGTAATCTTTCTCCATAAATTTATTTTTGAGAGTATTAGCTTGTTCTTCAAAATTTTCTAGTTGTGTGCAATTTCTGCGTAGTCTGAGAAATTGACTTTTCGGGACACTGTCAAGCCATGGTTTATAGTGGCAGCTGTTCTTGTCAATCACTGTATTGACACATACTTTTAAAAAAAAGGTTTTTGTATTAATTTTACCATTTTTGATAAATATATTGAGATCTAAAAAATTTATTTGTTCTCTACTAAATTCGTGGGTTAAAATTATACCCCTGTTATTAGTATTAAGAACATTAAAAAAGAAATAAGATTGTCTTCGGATCCGTTCCAGATAAAAAATGTGAGTGAAATACTTTTCTCTTGATTTATACATCACATTTGGACGTACTATATTTCACCATTGGAAGCTCTCTATCTGTTTTTATTTCCACATATATGGACTATCTGCCACCACACGGACGGATCAACACCTGAGGACTATTATCCTACCATCACATATCAGTGAGACTGTTTTAATCTATTTTTAGACAAACTTTGTCTATTGATTATATCCTATTTATTTATTATTTATTATTTATTAGCGCAGCCCTTACCCCCCTTTTTTTGTATTTTCCTGTCTCTTAAAGGGTTTCTTGAGGGATTCCCTTTTAGGGTTGCTGCTCCTTCTCTGGTTTAGCGCAGACTCTTCCCCCCTCTTTGTTTTACAAAGTGGGGGGGACCTATTGTCCTCCCCCCTGATCCCCACCCCTGAGCGGTGGGTGGGGGCCCTAAACAAGAATAAGGGGGGGACCTAATGTCCTCCTCCCTGTCCCCCACCCATGAGCAGTGGGTGGGGGCCCTAAATACAAATTGGCGGGGGACCTAATGTCCTCCCCCCTGCCCCCCATCCCTGAGCGGTGGGTGGGGGTCCTAAACAAGAATAAAAGGGGGAGACCTATTGTCCTCCCCCTGGCCCCC